GTGTATATATATATATGTGTATATATGTGTCCTAGCTATGTTCAGGCTCGTACTAGCGTGGCGATCAATGGTTTAGTGGTCCGTAGCTTGTCACAGCAACGTTTTCACCAAATGTTCAGTAATTCATGTTTTCCAAAAAGGACGATGTTAAAAGAGGGAATCGCACTAAAACTAGAAAACATAACATATTTTATATTGATATGAATGTTTGGTCCCTTTTAGACCTCGTCATTAATGTGACATCTTAAACGGTTTAGTTTTCAGCCCGTTCACCTCCATGTTTAAACATGCGCCGATAGAGTCGTACTAACGTCCCTCGTCAGACATGACTTCCTTTAAACAAAGCCTTTATTGTATAAGCGTGAGAGCAGAAATGATTTCAAACCAACAGTCTATTTGAAAAATAAAGGTGGCATTGAGCTCTGGGTGTTTTATGTGTATAATTTAATGTCATACATTGTCAGCATTATAAATGTTCTCCCTTTCCAACAACATATATTACACAAATTCAATCAAATGTCATCCAAACTAAATAACATAACATGGAATTCCACGACAGTACTGATGTTCATGAGCAGAGAGGAAAGAAACACAGTAACACTTCTATTAATCGACTAAATGACCTAACTTCACTTTCCATCTATTGAAATATCAGAGTAGTTTCACAGTTTTCTTACATTTCCTCAGTTTGCAAAGTAAGTGTATTGTTGTGCCCCTCCCGCTCCTCGGGAATAAAGCAGAAGTAAATGCAGCACCCTGAACATCAAATCAAAACTTCCTTAAATGAACTCTGTGTCTCTCTCCAGAGACGGGCTACAGACGAATGCTACTTCCACGAGCGGCTCGAGAGCAACAACTACAACACCTACCGCTCCAGGAAGTACCCCAACATGTACGTGGCACTGAAGCGGACTGGCCAGTACAAGTCTGGAAGCAAAACTGGACCGGGTCAAAAGGCCATTCTTTTTCTTCCGATGTCCGCCAAGTGCTAATCTGTTTGAGAAATATAAACCTCTTAGTGGCGGCAACAAAGAAGAAGATGTGACGGCAACGAAGACAAAGCGTTCCATCGACGTTGCCCAAAATAGCTGTGACGCTTTCTGACTGTTTGATCCCCGAACGTGTCCCGCTCTCTTTCTCAGCTTTTACTTTCAAACCAGCCCGGTGCCTTGCTCAAGTACGGCAGTGTTCATTTAACCCATGCAGGTCTTCCCTCTCTCTGGCTGAAGGATTTAAAGCGGCAAACCTTTTGATAACAAGTGTGCTTCCTACAGAACAGTCCGAGTTTAGCTGAGAGACGTCGGGCCCGTCGAGGAATATTCTGTTAAAACGTGTCCAACATAAAAGATGCAAATGCTCTCAACTCTTACACTATTATAACTTTAGAAGAGTGAAGGACTTCAACTACGTAACTGAATTTTAGAATGTTGTGATCCAACATTGTTTGACAAAGTAAAAACGAAGCCCACTAAACCCAAGAAGTACTCAGTACACTTACTGGATACTTTACAGATTACCTGAGCTCGTTAGTGTATCATTTTAGATTTGTGCAAAAAAAAACGATCCACGTCGCATGGCACCGGAACATAACTTCTACCTTTCTTAATAAGAGATAAAACAACATAAAAGATGATTGTGACCTCTCTGACCAGTCATGGTGGTCAGTCAGCCAATATGAATATTGCAACTTCTTGCCACTAACGTTGGCTTCGGCAAAAACGGTCAGCCGACGCTGGTGGTTAGCTTGTATCTGATCCCTGTTTAAAAATACAGCATAATTAAAGAAAGGAATCTGCTGCTGGCAGCCAATACTGTCCAACAGATGTGGATTTCCAACATGGCCTCCAAAAAAATGTTAAATTAACCGTATAAAACTCTGCAGTCTTGCAGGCACCACAGTGGCATATCTTTAGAAAACACAAAGTGAGTGTTTCCTTGTAGTTTTGCACCGTATTTCTCACTGCAAACCAAACCAAACAGTCATAAATACACCTTGAATATGAGTAATACTGACAACTGTATGTCAACACAGCCGCGATACGCTACCCCCGTCGGGTGGATGATGGCTCGCTAGCATTTCAGCTGCCTGTGGTACAGCTGGTAGAACATCCCCGAGTAGACGGCGGGAAGCTCCTCCATGGCGAGGTCGATCTCTCCGAAGCCCCGCTCCAGCCCGCGGAGCAGAAGCCCGGCTACGCGAGAGGTGATGGGCGTCGTGTGGTCGGTCTTCGCCAGCTCGGCGAGCTCCAGCCACTCGCAGCGCAGACACTCCTGGGTGCAGAAGTTGATGTCGTAGCTGAGCGGGCCGAGTCGGCAGATGATGTACATGTCCGACATGCCGAAGGCGCCGGGGTGGTTGTGCTGCTGCCGGATGCTGAGCAGAGACCTGAACTCGGAGTGAACGCCGGTCTCCTCGAAGACCTCGCGAACAGCAGTGGCACCTGAAAAACAAGCATTTAAATATCAAGCGTTTTAAAGATCCTGACAAGAAGGAATATATTCACGTTCCCTTGTCAGAGTCACCTTGCAGACTGTTTAGACATGGAAGGAAAAACAGGAAAATACATATATATTTTTTGTAAAGACGAAAGCTGCTTTTTGTGATGGGTCACGTATACAATATTAAAGCTGCTTTTAAAATGTAAAAAATAGAAAAGGTGACTTTAGAGAAACGGTTATCTTAGCGTATATATTGTGTGCCTTATTTTGTACAGTTCAAATGAATGTATCATCTTTAAGCTTAACACTAAAATCGTAGGATTTCGCTAGATGTACTGTATTAGTTGTTTTGACACTCACCGATATCTTCTCCTGGATCAGACAAGCCGCCGGGGAACTTCCAAGCATTCTGTGTCTGAAATACGAGGCAGAGTTAACATTTAACATATATTGTGACAGATGGCACTGCTGTAAATGTATACTTAGAGTAAATGTTCATTTTAGTCTCGTTTTTAATCATAAAATCAGTGCCGTACAGTTTAAAGTCACTTCTTTCTTTAAATCGGTGGCGCGGTCCGACAGTGTAACAGTAGTTTGTAGTCACAGCGATAATAGATAATGTGTTCAAAGGATGATCAATCTGAAGTAATGATCAAACAGGCAGAGAGATGCTGGATTCTCTGATCCGAGCGTCCGTTCGTTTCATGTTTTATATTTAGACTTCTACATTTGATGCGGTGAAGTGTGTCTTCAAAGCTGTTTCACCACTTGATATTTAATAACAGTATGCTGCTGGTTAAGTTATGATGTCAGTCTTGTATATATATATTTTTGTAGTTACCTTAAGAATGTTGTATGCAGTGCTTTTATTTTAAAGAAATGCTATTTCATCTTAGATTGTCCTTGTTTAGTAAATTCTCTCTCTTTGTGAGGAACACGGATGCACTACAGCATTTATTTTCATGTTGACAGGATGCTATATATGTTTGGGGCGGTTTATAAAGTGTGCTGGAAAGGAAGTAATAAAGGGATTTTGTTGAACTCTAATCAGTGTGGTTTTTCAGAGTAAAACGTCTCATCCAGAGCTAAATGTGAAAATAACAAAAAACACCAAAACATGCACAAACTGTTCATGCTGAATCTACAGGGGAATGACTGGACGCTGGTTAAATGACTTCAGTCCACTGGGGATCTGTCGGTCGTGTGTTGTGCTGATGTAAGAGTGATAACGTCCGGGTTTGTTTACAGGAAGTGCGTAACCCTCTGTGAGACTCTGCTGCTGCCAAGGGCCAGACTCTTACTGGAGAAGGATTGTTTCCAGTAAACAGCTCGATGAGGAGGAGGAGGAGGAGGAGGAAGAGATAAAACTCTTCCCACAGTTTAAGGCCACTAACTGTTTCCCTCTGCTTCTGGACAAAAGCCATTAAGACACATTCTATGCAGACGACTCCCGGCTGGCACACATGTTGTCAGCAAACAGGCCCGTTTGTATTCTGTCAGTTATAAACTATGTTTGCTGTGTGAGACACATTTTACAGGAACCACGTGTTCCTTCTCAGATTGCTCCTCCTGGAAGAATTAAATGCAACGAAGAATTTAAATTATGTCAACTTACTCACTTCAACATTGTGTATAAATAACATATTTAGGGGGAAATTACTTTAGATAGTCCCGTATAGTCCGATGTCTTCAGATAGATTTGGTTTTGACTGAACCAACATTGAAGTGGGGACACATAATTGATGCGATAAATCAAAGTACTGGGTCTAGCAGTACATTATTGAAACTGATTATTTATTTTCCTTCCAGCAGACGTCTGAACTCTGAAATGTTTCCTTCCTCTGGATATTTGCCTTTTGCCCGTTGACGGCTTCGTGGCAATGAATGATGGCACATGTGATCCTGTTGCTGTATTGTGTTTTAAAGTGGCTCAGACTCTCTGCTCTTTGATACACAGTGTTGCAACTAAGGATTATTACCAGCTGCGACAGCGATGCCGTTATCAGTTTTCACCTTGTGTGTGTGTGTGTGTGTGTGTGTGTCCATGGCTTTGAATTCCTGTCAGCTTTAGTGGTGATGACGTGTGGTCACATTACAAGATATAATGTTTGAATTAAGTACAGGAGCTGCTGCCTTTACCAGAAGAGCTTTTTTTGCCATTTTGTCTCTTTTTAAAGATGCACACTGTGTGCTTTTGCGCTTTATATCTTAAATCATAATTTGTTTCTAAATTGCAGCGTCACGGTGCAATCTTGTTTTGGCTGGGCTGAGAATCCAAACAAATCTGTGTCGCAAAGATTTTTTATAAGAGCCCAGTTGTAAGTGGACCTCATAACAACCTGAGCACTACAGCAGAGCTCTGTGAGAGCGGGCTGAGGCACACACACTCAGAGCTGTTAGCATTCGGCTCATGTAAACACCGTGTTTGCTTGAGGTCAGCTGATGTTGTGCGGAGCTCTGTTGAGTGTGTGAGGATCAACAGACGCAACATACAACTCACTGAATAAACACAACTAATCACAAGTGTTTTTAGCAGCAGGAGCTCTGCTGCCTCATTGGCTCTCTTTTATTAATTACACTGTGGATGGACGGGTCGGTGTCTAATATTGCTTTCTGGCTCAGTCAGGAAAGAGCTGGTGAACTAGCTGCCAAAAGTCATTTTTAACCTTCCAAAATATGTCAGAATTTTTCCTTTTGAGAAATGTGTCTTGCTGTCAACTGTAACTAATATGAATAATAACAGCTCTGTGCTCAGCTTTTTCATATGCTGCATTCCCACTGAGAAATAAACAAATTCTATTTTTTTCACAGTTTCCTGGAAAGTAGCAAGACTACAGCCAACGCATGAATTTACTGAAAATAAAACTAAGAAAATCTTAATTGAATTCAATT